GCTACGGTACCATAGTCGCCGTCTATAGGCCTGGCATAGTAGGTGTCCTAGCCCTGGACTCAGATGTGGCCTGTTTTTATCCTGGCGATATATGTATCTAAGTAGTATTCGATATTCTATTCAGACCCTATAGTGCAGTGAAATACCCATTAAAAATACCATAAATTATCTGACTAGTAACTAGCCTCTCGGCGTATAACTATAAGTTTAAATCCATCAAATACCCTATTAAATGATTTTGAAAATAATAAAAAAATAATAACTTAATATTTGATTTCTTATAACCGTGAGAGAGTTTATACTATAAATATATAGTTTATTCTAATTCACAGCCTATATCTATATGTGTATATCTAAAATTTACTAGACCTCTACTAATATACTCTTAAATAGACTTTTAAACTTCTTTTTTAATACTCTGAAACGCTATATAGGATGGGGATTACGATATATCTTATACGGAGGTCGGCACTAAAAGTCCTGGACATGCCAAGACAAGGGTCCAGGTAGGGCTGAGTGCTTGATATACTTCCAAATTTCATAAATAGCATTATTATTCTTTATTTTAATAAGTATTAGTACTCTATATAATAGCGACGTAGTATATATATACGAAGTATATATATACGAAGTATAAATATGCGAAGTATATATATAATAGCGATATTAATAGAATATATAATAGTAATAATATTAAAGTATTAGTTATAGCGTAAAGAAATAGAGAAAGAGTATAAAGACTTTTAATATATAAGTCTTATTTATATAGTATAATAAATAGAAATCTTCTTATTATTCTCTATCTTAATTATCTTTTATTACTCGTATTTACTAGAATTATAATCTATTAGAATTTATAATCTTTAAAATCTAATTCTTATAATTTATTATTTTATAACAATATAATTTAAAACTAGAAAAAAAAGTTAAAAGAATATAAAATATAATTATTATAATTTTAATTTTAATTTTTTTTATAATTAAGCTTAAATTAATAAAGTTATATAGTAATATATTAAGATATAATTATCGAAGTTTATTACGCTATTATATAAATTAATTATTATTATCTCGATTTTAAAAACTCTTAAAAATATTAAAATCGTATTTTATATTCTTTTAGATTTTTTTTCGAGTTTTTTATTATAATGTTATGGAATAATAAATTATAAAGATTAAGTTTTAGAGATTATAAATTCTAATAGATTATTAAATTCTAGTAATAACGAGTAATATATCTAATACTTAAAGTATTAACTATAATAATAAAACTTAAATTTAAATACTTATTAAGTCTTATTAACTATAAATAAAGTATTATATTATTTAAAAGAATATATTAAAAATTTATAAGAAAGCGAAAAGATAATAGCTATATTATTAAAATTATAAGTTTATTTAAAAGAGGATTTAGAAGTAAATAGAGCGAATATCGAGATATATTATAAAGATAATACGTCTTAAAGATAATAACGAGTATAGAAAAGATTATAAAGAAGGTAATATATGATTATACGACTCCGTCGAGCGAGCTAATAAGTATATACGCAATTATATAAAGTATTATCGTTAAATAAATGTAACTATACAGAAAGTGCCAAGAATGCCAAGAGTGCCAAGTATTTTAGCGCTGTCTAGGACTTTTGATATCGACCTCCGTATAATAATTCTAATATCTAGTATTGTAATATCGTAGAACATTAGTTTTAAAGAGATTTAGTGAAGAAACGAAGGAATAGTAGCTATAAATGTATTTTGCTATAGAGTAATTATTTAATATCATTATTTTAAGCGAAGAAGAAATCGTAGAATAATACGCTCTGATTAGTCCGGGTACTCTCGAGTCGAATTAAGCCGTAGACTTTAGTTCGTAAATTAATATTAAATAAATTTCTTTTTAAGATATTATATCTACGAAATCGCTATAAAACGCTTAACGATAATAGTAAGATCGAATAATAACGCGATATAACTTCTAAAGATCTTTATAAATAAAATAATAAGGATAGCGTGCTCGATAGACCTTACGTAAAGAAATCGTTAAATAGTAAGAGTCTAAGTAATTAAATTCTAAATATAGAAAAATAAGGCCTTAGAGGGCTTTCTGAAAACTTCGAATAAATCTAAATCGTTTAAAAATACGATGTCTAAGGTTTTAGCGGTGGCCTATTAATATTATAAGTCGGATATCTTCTATTATCTAAATTAGATATATATAAGCCTTCTATAAGCCTCTATATAAGCCTTTCTATAAGCCTTTCTATAAGTCTTTCTATAAGTCTTTCTATAAGCCTTTCTATAAGTCTTTATATAAGCCTTTCTATAAGCCTTTCTATAAGTCTTTATAGTCTAAAATAGATATATATATATAAGCCTCTCTATATTAATTAATTATCGAATAGATAATATAGAAGGTTAAGAAAAGAACTTATCAATCTACAGTCTTACTATAAAAAAAAAAAAAGTATATCCCTCTTATTTTCCCTTCGTTAATGGCTTTATTAATAGCTTTATTAAAGACTTTAAAGTTTTTTAAAGAGGTACTTAAGAAGAAACGTTTAGAGATTACATTTAATAAATATTATTAAGCTCTTTTAGTCTATAAGAATAGTTTAGACTCTTATAAAAAGAAATCTAGAATTAAATTAATTACATTATATTATAAAGTTATTCCTTTTATACTAAATCGATATATCGCTAATAATTATTCTTATTAAGAAGTAGCTAAAGATTAATAGTAATTAAATTTTATAGAGAAGAAAGCTCTAAGAATATAGATTCTATAAGTAATGGAGTAGGGCTAGTCTTTTAGAGTTTCTCTTATTTATTATATAGCTAGTAAAATACTAATAGTAAAGTAAGATAATAAAGAGTTAGATATAAATTAAATTTACGACTTTCTTAAATGTTATCTAAATCTATAAAGTTAATTTAATTAGTCTTTAAATAAAGAATATACTATAACTTATAATATAGAAAAGATATTACGATAGTTTTAGCTTATTAAGTTAGTTATTTAGAAATACGATATTTAGAAGAAAAATATATATAATATAAATAAGAAAGAGTCTACTCTTAGTTCTATTAATAAAACGAGAGTTATATACTTTAAGTATAATATATATATATATATAACTTAGAATAGGAGTAGAGAGTGGGCGACTCTAATCGAATATATATCCGCGGATAAAAGACTTCTTTTCTTATTTATTATCTTTAAGAGTAAGCTTCAAATAAAGACTTAATTTAATATCTTAAAGAAAAAGAAATCGATAATTATATTAAGTGAAAATAAATAAATAAATAACGTATTAGACTTAAAGTGGTTTATTAGATATATTTTATTAATTTCTATTTATATAATTAGCTTTTAACTTATCCCTTATAAATACTTTAAATTATAGACTCGAAAAATATTAAAAGAAAGATATCGTCTTCTAATATATAATAGATATGTATCGTATATTAGTATTAAAGTTATATAGTTTTATATTAATAACGATATCGTTCTCTTATATCTATCTATCTACTTTATATATATTCTTTAGTTATTAAACATCGAGTTTTTTTAATCTTTAGCGATTATATATCGAAAATATCTAATAAAGAATATTATACTTAGAGGTAATTACTTAATAAATAAAATAGACTTTATTCGATTTATTTAAATAATAAGAATAAATATTATAATAAAAAAGAATATTAGATATATATAATAAAAGAGTAAGCTATTTTCGATTCAGCTATAAGTTATTCTCGATAAATTAAGACTTAAGATATTAGAATTAAGACCTATTATACCTCTATCTTTAGAGATAATAATTATTATATTTAATAATAACTCTCTATCTATATCTTTTATCTTAATAAATATAAAGTAAATTAATTAGCTAGTTTAATAAATTAAGACTAATAATCTTAATCTAGTATTATTAGAAAAGCTTAAAAAAATATATAGTTTAGCGCTAATAAATAATACCTTACTTTATATTATTAATAAGAATCTTATTAAAATAGAGTAATAAAAAAAAGAGAAGATTAAATATAGATAAATATATTAAGACGAAGAATAACTTATAACTCTTAAGCTTATTTAGAAATAATTAAATAATTTAACTAATAAGAAATTTAAGAAGTAATTTCGAAGTATATATTATCTCGAACTAGCTATTTTTAAAGATATAAAGAGAGATAGAAGTTTAGTTAAGAAAAAGGCTACTATACCTCCTATATTAGATCTATTAATATTATTAAATCTCGCTCTATTATCTCCGCTATAGTAATAGCGAGCTTTATTAAAGACTTTATTAAAAACTTTATTATAGATTTTATCTTCGTAATAATAGCGAGATAAAAGAGATAGAAGAGGTAAAAGTAGTAAAAGAGGTAAAAGCGATAAAAGAGATAAAAGAGATAAAAGAGGTAAGAAAGTAATAGAAGAAGAGATAGTAGAAGAAGAGGTAATAGAAGAAGAAGAGGTAGTAGAAGAGATAGTAACGGTTTTTTCACGACATGATAGATCGATAAGGTCTAAAAAATAGTAATTTAGGCTCTCCGATATAGAAGCCTTAAAAGTAATAAAAGATCATCATTATTATGCTAGTTTGCTATATAAATTTAGTAAGAGGTAGGCATTTGGGTGTTACGTCGGAATTATCGAATTTAATTTGGGCGTAAATAAGGATAGGGCGTAAATGGGGGTAGATACGATTAGCGAGCCTAGAGCCTCGGCACTTTAAAAGCCTTGCAGGGACTAGGAATTAGCAAGTCCAAGGCATTTCTTGGCGTCATGTTTTCTTCCCAACCCTTGTCTGTCTGAGAGCCTCTAGGTATGCACAACCTCAATGTTTCGGGCTTTGTACTCCATAGCGTCATGTGCATCGCGCCAACGCGGTCTCTTTTGTGCTTGCCGCGTTATCGATAGTCCGTCTCTGAAGCTGGTACGCGCCAAAGTACCATGCATCCCCACGTCCTATTCTCTGATAAGAAGCCACGGCCAGATGGCGAAACAACAGTCACTATCTCTGCTTCCGAATGACGATCCAGACTTGTTCACCTACACTTCCGGGCGCTACCTCTACAACGAGACACGCAGGCTATCGGAGCGGTCTATCAAGTTCAATGTACAGGCATTGAAAGATATCGCTTCAAGATCATTGAAAAGAGGTGCAGTCGCCAGTCTTCGAAAGCTTGCCGAGGGAGGCTTCAACAGAGTGTTCCTTTTGACATTCGAAGACGGTTTTGAAGTTATCGCTAAGATACCTTACAACATCTCCGTCCCAGAGCGCCTAGCAACAGCGAGTGAGGTTGCAACAATGGACTTCTTGAGCAGCAAGGGACTGCCAGTTCCGCGAATTCATGCCTGGTCTGCAGATAGCAACAACCCTGTCGGCGTAGAGTATATCATCATGCAGAAGGCGCCGGGGAAACCGCTAGAAGATCGTTGGTTCCATCTTACGCAGAAGGAAAGAGTTTGTTTCATGGAAAGTTATATAAGGCTCGAAGGAAAGCTTTTTGAACTTCGCCTAAACGCTTACGGCAGCATCTATTACAAAGACGCATTGCCATCAAACCTCCAGTTAGACCTTCATCCTCCTGTGAGCTCGGAGCGAAAAGATGATACCGATCGATTTTGCATTGGGCCAACAACAGACTATATGTTTTGGCTTGGACGGTATAGTCGGCTTGCTATTGATCGAGGACCATGTCAGTAATTCCGACCGCCCTGCGTTTCAGCTCGCTAACGCTCATGGCTTATTAGGGGCAAAGTCAAGCGACTATATAAGGTCGATTGGTGAACGGGAGCTCACTTGGACTCGCAGTTCTGGCCAAGCACAGACTCTTGGATTTCCCCACAACACATTACTGAAAGGTCAAATATCGCCAAGTATTTACGTAGACCTGTTGGAAAAGTATATGTCTGTATCTCCGCACCTTTTGCCGGCAAGCCATGACAATATTTCTAATCGACCTACGTTGCGTCATCCAGGTATTTCACTCAGAGCCTCCGTTCTTTTTGACGCGCTTTACTTACACCAACGCAGATCTTAATCCCACAAACATATTCATCTCCGACTCCTGCGAGATTTCCTGTTTCATCGACTGGCAGCACACTACAGTTCTACCATTTTGTCTAACAGCCGGCGCACCCCCAATGTTCAAGAACCCAGATCCGCAACCTCCAACAGACCTCAGACAACCCACCCTTCCCACAGATTATTCGTCTCTCTCCCCCAATGAGAAGTCTGTCGCCGATGAACTCCATCGCAGAAGGATGCTCTTCTGGCTGTACATTGTGTTCACTGGGAACCGTAATCGCGATCATCTAGCTGTGCTTCGTGTGCCTATGCTCTATCTTCGCCAAGAGTTGGTCGATCGAGCTGGACGATCGTGGAATGGTAATTACATAACGCTCAAAGGCTTGCTTATCCGGGCTATCGAGCACTGGGATCAGATCGCCCTGAATACGGGTGACTGCCCGATCCATTTCATTGACACAGAAAAGGAAGAGTTTTTCCGCATCGAAGACGCCTGGATTGATTTGAACATACTGGTAGAGCACTGGCGCAGCGTTTTGTACCATGTGAGCCAAGACGGATGGGTCAGGAATGAAGTCTTTCAGGATGCTGTAGAAAAAAATCGAGAACTGAAAGAGACATGGCTGAGTGAGGGGGAAGATGACGAGGATCGAGAGTGTGTTGAGAAAGGGTGGCCTTTTCAGAATCGGGAGGAAACTATCTAAATTGATATGGGAAAACTGGTGGTCGGAAGCTCTGAATGGCTCACCTAGGCTCAACGACCTCAGCCTTAGAGTCAGCGGCGTGACTTGAGGAAGGCAAAAACGTTGCCTGAAATTGATTGGACGGAGGGAAACCCTGGTGGCGACAAAGGTATGCTTCACGTTCGAGAGTAACGCGGATAGGTCTTATGTCGGTGTACGAGAAATTACATTCCGGACATGAATGGTATCGATGAAGCCATGTCCAGGTACATCTAAAGCAATGCACATGGCGACATGGGAGTCCGACGGGACAGTCATTCAGATCTCCTGTGATGGAAAAGAGGTCCCCACAGACGTCACAGGTTTTCCGCCCGACGGGGATCTCCTCGAAGATGATGAACGCGTTGTCGATACTGGGAATGAGCAACCCGACGTTTGGGAGCCCAGAGAAAGAAGTCATTCCTCCTCTAGCATGAGTATCGATATCTGGGAATCGTCGTAGGTAGGTACGTCGTAGATTATTGGTTGAGCTGGGCTGGCTGACGTGGGATAGATGAGTGGACTTTGAGAGCAGAAGAGAAGAGCAAACGTTGCAGTAATATAAGAAACAATGGTCAAGATCTTTATCTTTGAATGTCCTTGAAAGCCACAAAGGAACTAAAGTTTTCCTTGAGAGATCCTTGGTCAAGCCAATGACAATGGAAGGTAGTAACAATGCAGTTGTTGGTGAGAACAATAGAAGAACAGCAGACAAAATTTAGTGTTATGAGTCAGGCCATGCGATTTGTGACAACGAGGCTTTGTTTTCGACTAGGACTTCACGCCATATGACTACGCCCTGCTCCAGCCAAAATCGTTCCCTCAGTACCTCCAAACGGCAGAGACATCGGCAGCTCACACAACGTTTCTTCAGCCGGTATCAGAAATTGATCGGTTGCGAGCACGTCCAAAGACGGCAAGGTGCAAGTCTTGGCAAATGCACAACTGACAACCTGTCTTGTTCTCTCTTTGACCGCACTGCGCAGGGACTGCTTCTGTTAAGAGTTCCTATTTCAGTTAAGAAGGTCTTGAGACCCCACAGGCTTCGAAGGTTGTGAAACCAAATCTCGGTCCGACTGGGTTTATTCCAGTGACTAGAGCTTCGATATGAACGCGATTCTTAATACCGTGACATCTGATGGCCTTGATTCCCAAGACCAAGTCGCCTTTCAAGATTCTGTCCCGTTCGGAGTTACTCTTCTTCATTCAAAGTCCTAATCTATCTATGCTAAGAATTATACAACACAATCTATGGAGTACAATGTTAGGATTGACAAGAAAGGAATGCTTTAAATGATGAAATCTGGTGTCGGACTAACGGAGTAGAGACCTTCGTTCCCCCCTCTTTCTATTTCCTCGGGGGCAACCGATCGCCTTGAAGGCGCAAAATCTGCAAGCGTCGGAGCGCCGCTCACCTCCTTCAGCTTAGCCTTCCAGTCCTGATAGCGCAAGTTCTCCAAGCTTTTCTCGTTCTTCTCGGCAGCCATTTCCGAAAGACCCTCGTTATACGCGTTTGATCGCTTATTATAACCCCAACTGGAGGGCTTCCAATAGCAGTATTCGAATCCAAACATCCATTCCGGCAAGCGATAAAGTGCAGGGGCAGCTTCCGTCTCCAAATCCCGCCATATTCTGCAGAATGCGTGCTGGAGTCGCCGATGTTGAGATCCGTAAGATTCCCCCTTGTATTGGGAGAGATCTTCCGGATATCTTTCGTTCGGACTCCTGATCCAGAAGTCCATCCGAGTTATCTCAAGAGCTTGCTGTAAAGATTCTATATCAGCAGGCGTTTGCGGGACCTTGAAACGGCAGTCGCTCCATCCTGCCCGAGCTTCCGTCTGGAAATCTATGTCGGCCTCCGGGTCCCATTCCATCATTGATGACAGGGCTGTCAGAGAGGGGGCATGGATTGGGTCTGGTACATCCCAAGGAGGCAACAACCATTCTCCTCTTTCTTCTACAATGCTTTCATCTCTAGGCGTGTCCGCAAACACCGTAAGACCCTTGTCCAAGTTTTCCGCATCCGAGTCATCGTGCCACTCCAGCGACTCATGGAGGACCCTCCGGGGGTTCGGGATCTCCTCGCGGATTGTTGGATCTCCGTCGGATTTTACTACACCGCTTTGATGTCCGGTGTCTCGATCTAGTCGATCTGTATCTTCTGCCGTCTTGCTATGCTTTTCAACCCACAAGCGTCTGATCTCCTTTCTAACCTGGTATTGAAGGTTGAACTCAGGATTCCGACTGTACCCCTGTTCCGGACCCATCTGAGAATCTAGCGACTCTTCAGATTGCGGAACTTTCCGTAATCTATCCCCCACTGGGTAAATAGAATGCTCCTCCAGGGTCTCCGGGGGTATGGCAGTCTTTTTGTAAATCATCAGTGAAGATTTCTTCTCTTCCAAAAACGTTCCGCCTGTATTGGTGTTTGATACGCTGGCGAAGTGTTTAGCCATCACAGGGTGTCGTGGAAACGCTGAAACCCCTACCGCTGGTGTTCTCCGGGGCCTCATGTTTGCTGGTGGCGGCGCGAGTGGAGGCGGAGGTGGAGGTGCGGGATCTTGAGGAAATGTCGGAGCTCTATGATCATCCTGTATGGATCTGGGCGTGGGAGCAGTCGGTCTGCTAGCATCTCTTGAAGAGCCTGCGTAGGAGGGAAGCGACGAGTCACCCCGAAGGATTTCATCGAATATCTTTCTCGATCTAGATGATGATGACATCTTGTCCTTGCTCGGGGTTTCTGAGCCTTGTAGAAGTTTCCGATTCGGCCTTTACTTTCGAGCCGTGCACACGTCCTGCCCATACTTATATCATTGGATTCTTTTCGCGGCAGATCTACGCCTGTGTGTGTTAGCAGATTCAAGTGTTGCCACGTCTGTCCGCATGTGACATGCGTGGCGACCGGGTGTTAATTGTTCCAATGGGAGTGATGTGACACAAACCGCCTAGAGATGAGGACGAAAATATTTCGCCTGCTTATGCCCTGCATTTCCGGCAGCCGACCGTCCGTCGGCTTCTCGAGTGGCTCAACACACTGGGACTTAGATGTGATGTTGTGGTTCAGGCCGCTTTGCTTTCGTTTCCCTGCTCTGGATCTTGCTCTTTGAAGCTGAAGCAGTGAAGTCTTGCTCTACGTTCGGACTTCTGTAGTGGGAGGTTACATTCACATTGCAAAGTGAAGGTGGCTAATGTATCAGTTGCCATAGGTCAGCACTATCATCGGCAGGGCATTCTATAGGCTACTGGCGCGGCCGAATTGGGGAACGTGGAATGCGTGGCCAAGGACTTGTTTCAACCACAACCTCTGTCATCGGTTTCCTTTGTATTATTGCTCTCTATGGAGTTATTTCGTGCATAAGTGTTGATTAGAGAATCTCCGTGTCCAAGAATGGCATCTAAATAGGAAATCCTTGCCCTATGAATCCGCGATCCTTTGCATTTTGCGACTTCGAAAAATCATACCGCGATCGCACCACACTCACTTGAAATGCCTCAACCCAAAGAAAATACCCTGGCAGAACCCTAAAGTCTATGAAGAAAGGAGTCGCTGAGGATTTGCGAAAACGAACAATAAGAAATCCCGAGGATCGAGACTAGGAAAACGAGCAATTTTTCTGCCACCATAGCATGACCCTGCCTTCAACGATCGCATAGAATCCACAGTCACTCATCTCTGCGCAAGTCCCCTCTGCCTCGCGCGAAATGCTAGGCATTGTACCGCGATTTCTGGGCTCTCCAGTCCCGATGCCAATCCGTCGAGAGTGAGGCTTGGATCGCCTCCCATTGACCGCGATGGAAGTCCGCAGGCAGGTAATCATCGTGATCAAAGCCGGGTTGCAACTCGGTGCCGATGTGGATGGGGTCGTGAGCTTGAAGATAAGGCTCGCTGTGGAGTGGGCCTGTTGCTGGACCATCCGGAATCCCATAGTCACTGTTGGTCTCTGACGGACTTCCGGGGCGCCCTCCATTTCGACGATATCCGAAGCTGGATGGGAGGGGGCTCGGGAAGGAATTCGGAAATTCACCCTCTGTCTGAGGCAAGCGGGCATCCTGTGATTCCACCAATTCTCTCCGAGAGTGTCCATATCTAGAGTCTTCACATGCGGCAAGTGAAACCTCTGGCGAAGGTAATAGCGCTGTGTTGCTGCTTCTAGCGCGCTTTATCGTCCGCTCCTGCTTCGGTTGTCCGTGAGAAGGATCATCTGTTCTTTTGCGCTTGCCGGTAACAATTGCTGGTGGCGGTATCGGTGGTCAAGCGTCCTTGCAAGAAGGATTACCATAGAGAGAGCCATTCCATGGATGTTCTTGTCGAAGGCTTTCTCGAGTCAGACCCTCAGATGGACCGGTGTCTTGTGGGGGAATAGTCTGTGGAAGGCTGTCGCGTGAAAAGCTGTTTTGTGGAAAGCGCTCATGAGCAAGGTCGTTCTGCGGGTAGACGTCCCATGGATAGCCGTCCTGTGGAAAGCCGTCCTGTGGAAAGCCGCCCTGTGGATAGTCGCCTTGTGAATAGTCGTCCTGTGGAAGGTCGTACTGGGAGCTCTTATACTGTGTGACTGCTGGGAGACTGGTACTATGGTTCATGTCGAACCCTCGCACCTGCGAACCCACGTTCGCAAAGCGCGCATGAAAGCCAACCGATTGTGAGCCTAGGGTAAAGCCCTCATGTGGGCCCGGAGGTGGCTCATGGAAGTAGTCACTGTCGAGATTGTCTTGGTGGAAGTACGTTTGCGGATCCCTCGTGTCCGACTGACGCCACTCATCGCTTCTCAGCTCCTTGGGGGACCGACGAGCCTCCGAATTTCTTCCAAGGGTGTCCCAAGGTTGATCAAGGCTCTCAGGTAAGGGGGCCAGTGTATGATTAAACCCAGCACTCGAGGGCCACGTGTGTATACCTTGGTCTTGTAGGTCATATGGATTCGTGGCAGATGAAAATCTCATGGATTCTTCTACTGCATCCTCGGGCTTCGGCCCACCGGTTCGTCTATGCCTTTGCTTTTGGCTTTTTGAACGTGTATGCGGAAGGAGGTTGGTGCCATCCCTTACACCTTGCGAGTTGTGAGCATGCATTGGCGTTCTTCCTTTCTTAAATGGTCGAGCCTCGAAGTCCTCTTCCAGATCCCCCATTTTTGTCGACTTCTGCTCCCTCGATCGCTTGGGGGGTTCCGGAAGACTCAAACCTCCATGATAGTCAAGTTCATTGTCAGGCTTGATGTTTGTCCATGGGCGTCGTGTGCTAAAGCCGGCAGCGCTTCCGTGGTTAAGGGCCGGGGAGACGTAGTTCTCCTCCTCCTCTACACCACCAGGCGTATACTCGAAGCACCCGTCTTGGCTGCCTACTTCCTCTTCGTACTCCTCGTTCTTTTGAAGATCTTCGGCTTCCTTTTTCGCCTCAGTAGCTCGCCTTTTTTTGGGCCCTTGCTGAGGCTTTTTCATGGCGCCATCTTTGATTTTCTTGATTTCAGCTGTATTGAGGTCGCGCCAGCCTTTAGTCGAGTTGACTGTTGGATCCTTGTACCGGGCAGGTATAACGTCAAGGATCCTCTGGTTCTTGGCGACCGTGCCGTCCTTCTTCTCCCAGGACAAACATCCAGCGCGCAGTCGGAACCGTGTTGCCCGCATACTGAATGTTCCGACTCTGGGAGGGCCCTGATGCCATTCCCTCGATTTCTCCTCCTTTTCAGTCTTTTTGTTCTTCGTTTGAGGGTTTCCTTTGTAGTAGCCGTTGGGAGCCCGGGCTGTTGCATTCGTTAATTTGGAAAGAACTAGGATTGCAAGATTACATACCAACAAGATCGTAAACAGATATCTCCCGATTTCGACGGAGATAGTCCTCGATGTCGTGTCCTTCAAGTTCAGAGGACACGTACATGGGGAGCTGATTTCCGAAGTCTCGGAGGCCATGATCAAATGCGTCGAGGACGATCCGACCTTCATCAATGACATAGCCATTAGGCTTTTCGCCCTTTGCATCGTCATTTCTGATCTGAAACAGACGGTCCGGTCGGTTCTCCCGCTCAGGTCCATAATTGTAATCCTTCTTCACGAAGGCTGTCAAGTTTGTGTCCTCGTATCCGCACTTCTTGGGAAACCCTGTGCATGTCAATGACAACCCTTTCAGCTTTAAGTTTTGAGGGGGAGACTGACTATATGAAAGCTTTTTAGATGCTTGTTGAACAACTTTGAGCCTGATATCTTCAAGACGAACAGCCGGCACTGCAGATTTGTCAGCAAAGTGTTCCCTGCTTCAAGGGCGATGAGTTGATTTCTCACCTTCTTTGTTGGTTAAAGGCTCGTGATATAGGAGGCTTCCGTCTGGAAGAACGCGTGTCTGCCCTTTTTCCTTCGGTATGTTCACATCCCTCAACAGGACTGGATTCGTGGGGTGCAAGATTTGGTCGGAAGTAGAAGACGACATCATAGAGACTGACAAGGCATACGGGAAGCTTCGGGGGCAGGGTAGGTGATGTATGATACGGCTAAAAATCTGTTAGACACTAAGAGAGTTGAGTGTACTAGGCGAGGTACTCACGTACGATGCAGATCAAGTGGAACGAGCAAGATGTTGGGTAGGATTTCTTCTGCAGTTGAGAAGATTGGGAGGTACGGTGAAGGCGTGAGAAAGGGTTGTGTTCTCTTTGAAAAAATCGTCAGCGGAGGTTGGAAGACGCTAGTGCAGAAGGGAACGCGGAGGTGATGACTCGAGGAAAGGAGTTGAGCAAAAACGTCAACAAAGACCCTGCGGGATTGAAGTGTTGATGGTTTCGATGAGCTTGACACAGCAATCAGGACGCTCGTAAGCCGCGCGATCGTTGTACGACACAGACGAATCTCGGTGTTTACACTGACATTAGGAGTCAAACCATTCGACTATTCTGCGCCTGGGAGCTCCAAAGTAGACCCACACCATGAGCACGATACAGCTTCCGTTCTAGGTCTACAGCCTTTGCTTCATGACTATATCTGCTGAGGTAAGAGAGCCTCGAAAGCCGGAGGGCTATAAGTAGAGGGTAATTGATACAGCGCTATTGGCCCAAGGGTAGAGCCAACGCCATGAAATTGTAGTTCCAGAGTCTCTTCCTTGAAAAACCAAAGACAGATAATGTGATGACGACTCATTTGTGCCGCTTTTTATATATAGTTCTTTACACAAGTACATTGACCTGAGGCTAAGGGGAAAAGGAGGCAGCAAAAATCGCAGAAACATGAAGTATATGTAGACTCTACAATTTTGTAGTGGAAGTGGCAAGGTAGTCGATCGGGGCCAAACTAGAGATGAGGATGAAAGGGAGCTCAATTTGTGTCTCTTAAAGACATTCAAATGTCATTCTTCTCCAAAACTGATTATTTCGTAAAGGATAGACTCTCTATATGAGCCATTGAAGTCAACTCAGACGGAACCAGCAAGCATCGTGATACCGATTGCAGGTGACTGCGTGCCCGGAACTGCATGAACACAAGAATACGGAGTGAATTGTCGGATTCACTGTCTTAGAAACGGTTAGCGGCGTTTCCATAACAAACGCGGTCACCAACTCTCACAATGATTTCTTTCATTTCTTTCACTTCCTCAGCTGTCAAACCCCACCAATGTCAAGCAGCACAGCCACCGTCTTCATGTCTCAGTCACAGATGAACGTGCTAGACGACAAGGAGGTCAGCCGGAGGATGGCAGAAAAAGCTGTGCATGACCAAGCCTTCAAAGATCAATTATTGATTTGTGTTAACCCACACACGCAACGCAAGGGCTATCGAGCGATCCTCAAAACCATCAAGAAATTCAGAGAGCAAATATTGGACGAGGCTGAGCTGAAAATACCGGAGCCGGCCAATGGAAAGCCACGAGATGTTAATACCTACCTCAAGAGAGCCACAAAACCACTAGTGTCGCTGGGCAAGGCTATCAAGCAGGAGGGAGAGGAGACCAAGGTGACTTCTGTGGAAGTCGATGGGGTGGGGTGGGGCTGGGTGGTAAGTCATCAAATATACTTGGACTAGACGCAACCTGATGCTTGACTTAGGGAACACCAATGTGTATTGCACGCTTGGCTGAGATTTTCCTGCAGTCGACGCTCCGTTTCCAAGCCGATCCTACTCCATTTCCTTTCGAGCGCCTACCTCCCGAACTTCGTCTGCAGGTGTACCGCGAAGCCGTTGGCGGTGCTGCATGTTGCCAGTTGTATCAAAAAACTGTCAGCAGTGCTGTACGTCGCCGAGTCAACCCTGACGACACGATTATGGTCATTCCGTTTCGTACCAAGAAAAAGGGTCTCCAGTTCTGGTTTGGGCATCCTCCCAAGGGTGAATCGAGGGAGATCAATCTCGGCATTCTTGCCGCAAGCAGGCAGACACACGATGAAGCTATTGCCGTTCTGTACCAGTTCCGTAACTTTGACTTCGGACTCAGCATCAACGGTGTCGTGCCATTCCTTCTGAGTCTTTCACAGCACGCCCGGGAAAATTTGAGTGGGATTACCATGGATCTCCACAACAAATGGAAGCCTTGCCGGCACAGGGGGCCAGACAACCAGGCAGACTGGAGCAAAGCTTGCATCTACATTGGGGAAAACGTGAACCTTAAGACATTGTCCGTCTCCATCAATGTCAAAGTTGACGCGGGATTCAGAGACCTCAAGTGGGTCAAAGATCTCGTGAAGATCAAGAATCTTAGATACTTGACGCTACAGGTAATCCAGCACCACAGCATCGGTCCAGTTCCGGTCATAGCTAGCGACAAGGAGGGTTCGCTGTCAGCTACTGAGGATAGTGTCAGTGAGCATTTGGTACCCTTCTGGTGCTTTCTGCGTGAAGAGATGCTGGAGTGACACAATTCGGGGCTTCTTTCTTTCAGCAGTGCATTGATGTAAATAGCGAAGCTCATCATGGTAGCAGGAGAAGTGGCTACTGGCTGCAATATGGCTTAAGTCGTCAGTGATAGCTAATGAATCGCAACATCTGGCTATCTTAGCTCCAGACCTGCTCATTTGCAACTGACGAGGAGGTCTCCGTCACTTTGAAGTCGATGCAATACAAGCATACATCGCTCCTGTCGTGATCCTGTACTCCATGTGTATACACATCAGTTGGGCTAGACCGCGGGTACCTGCATAGGGCTAACGCCTCGCTTTGACCTTATCTCATCGCATCTTGCTTTCGCGATATCTGACCCGTCACTTTCGGACGCCTTCAAAACACAAACTCAAATGCCAAAGGGCGTCGATTGGTTGGTTGCCCAACGATGAAACCTCAACTCAAACGCTCTCAAACGCGGATAGGGCCGTGGTTGAGCGCATCCGAAAATGCTTTGCCCGTGCACATCATGTCAACAACAACGACAACGAGCAAAGAGCGGCGTTCAAAATGGCGCACAAAATCATGAAGCAATATAGCATCAGTCACGCGGAGCTTATGGAGGAGAAGACAAGATCGCGCGTACAGAAAGAGGTGGCATGAGTACTGTCAACATGTGGCCTGCAAAGGGTGGTGCTCTCGTGAAGTACCAGATTTGGGTGAACGGCCTTGTGTGCGCTATCGGAAAGTTCTTCGACTGCAGCGCTTACTAGACTAGTCTCCCAGTTAAGATCGAGTGGACCTTTCACGGAATTGTGGGACATACAGTCTGCACTGCAGCGGCATTTGAGACTGTCCACAATCAGATTCAGGCTTGGGCTGAAAATTTATCCTACTGTGGCCACCCGGAATGGCAGGCGTTGCCGATGGATTGTGCCGCCGGCAGATGTGGAGGAGGTGATTACGGAGAACATAGCGATGGAGGCAGAGCAAAAGGCCTTGAGAGCCAAAATCAGGGCCGAGGATATTCAAATGCTGGTTGAGCTTGATAGGATAAGCAATCCACCACTGTCACCGAGTCCAAAGCCAGATATCAAGCTGGAGGATGTGATGAAGCACAGAAAGAGGAAGACAACATGACGGACTCCGATGTGGACGTCGGCGGTGGCACTGATGATGCCTCAGATAGCGAGGCAGTGCCTAATGTCATCGAAGTTTTTCCCGGAGAAAGGATGGATACCACGGCAGATTGGACACAGAGTCAGAGAAGTTCACCAAGCCTGAACCCAGAACCAAACCCGAGCCTGAGTCATCCCCGTTTTACGAGTAACCCGGCGCTCTCTCTGCCAAGGGGATGACCCTGGAGGATCCCGCCATTCCCGTTGAGAACGAAAACAGCGGGAGCAAGCTCGAAGAAACAGCAAATGGAGGTCAATGCGTCAGCTCAAGGTAGTCCGTGAGAATGTCAAAGATATCGAGGAGAGGGTCCTCGAAGAGATGGGCTTGAAGCTGAAGAGGGGTCGGAAGCAGAAGCGGAGCCTGAAGGATCGTGAAGGATCGTGACGCTTTCAAGCAGGGACGCAAAGACGCCAAGGATATCAACGTCAGGGTACCGAGGATCGTGGGTGGAAAGGTAGATTCGCCTGAGGTGGAGGAAGAGCTGAGGACAAGGGCGGCATCGATGGAGTGGGGGCTGGTCAGGATTGATTGCCTGCCAAGGTCACCGTCATAGGAAGTCTCCGAAAAGACAATGAGGATATAGACTCGTATATAGGAAACCATGAGACTAAGTGAAATGGGAATACAGTATCAAGTCAGGTCCTATCTCTAACAGGCTGTTGTGTGATGTCGAGTCTGGTATTTTTATGGTGTGCAGATTTTTGAAGCCCTGAAAGCAGCCCTAGCTGGCCACGATCTGTGCTAGCTACATAAGGCTAGATGAGGCAAGCGAGCATGAATATCTCATGACAGCAAATCTTTCGCTACCCAGAGGAATGCATTTGCCAAAACGCCTCTCTCTATAAGGCCTGGATATAAGGTACTATAGTAGCTTATTATCTTTCAATGTATCCAGTACGGAGGTCTGCACCGAAAGTCCAGGACAGCGCTAAGGTAGTATAGTGAAGCCCTAACCCTACTCTCGGTAGGCGACCCTGTAGCGGGGGGCCCTAGAATTATTTCCTGGGAGCGCATGAATTGAGCTTCAGAGACTGCTGTTGGATCTATGGGTCCTAAGCTGGGCTCATCTCCAGGCGTGTCTCCGAAGCAGATGTAAGCGCATTGTCCAGGCAGCCCTTCAGGCTTGGCATTTTCCGAGATCTTGGCGCGGGAGTCTTGGCGTCCAGGACTTTTGGTGCAGACCTCCGTACTTCCAAAGTACTACCTCTTTGTCACGAGCACTTCAGGCTCCCACGCAAGCCTCGAGTTGGGAAAATATTGAGCTTCAGCAATACAGTCTCCCTTTAAGAATAACGGCAGCTGAAGAAGTGTCAGTATACTTGTGTAGGAGACCTCAATTGCATGCTTGGGAGTTGGCGTTGAATCTATCAGTCAGACCTCTGCTGCTATCCTCGGCTCGCAATCGGCTCGCAGGACTCACTGCCAAGCTTCCCTCCGTTGATCCCACACTGCAAAAGGCCGGAAAGCCAACTGGCATGCGCCTGGTGAACCTAGCGGTGGGGTCAAGCCACTGGAACGATGGTGGCTCGCCTCGGACGTAAAATAGTTGGCGGGTCATGCCTACCGGCCATGCCAGCGGGTGGAAATTCAAGACGTCTCTTCTGCTCTTAACTACGTTGTTTCCACCCTCCTATCTCTTGCCTTGATTACCGCAGTGCTTTGTCAGTTGTGAGACTTGTGAGACGGCTGATGGATGGTGAATGTTCGCCTTGGAGCTGGTGAACCAAATGAGACCGTGTTGTTCATAGAGACTGCTTCGGATGTTTCGGCGAAAAGGGCGGAAATATTCAGCATCGGTCTTGATCTGGGCCTTGAATGGCTTGCATTATGTGGGGGCGATCATGAGCGGCGCCTGCATTCGATAGCTTCGCAGCGTACTAGTCTTCTTTCGTCCTGCCATGCACATCACGACGCTGTGTGATTGTCGCAATGCGGACCATCAACGTGTTCGCGCGGTGTGACTGGACGAACGGAAGCAAAGGAATCCCTTATCTAGATTTTGGTCTGAGACAATGGTTGCCCGAGCTCCTCCCGCCATACTTTTCCAAGGCTCCTTCCTCCCTGTTGCACAATGCTTTTTCAGGGCCTTGACTCAAGAATTGTGCGCGAGGGAGACGGTCAATTCTAGACAAGAACGATATTGCAACATCCTACCATTAGCTTCCGATTGTCTATCCTTGAAGTCTTCTCCCACGCCCACTGCCATGTTACACGACTCTCAGAATGCTGGGGTGAGAATTGCGCGTCGCCTAGGCCAGAAGGTCCTCGACAGGGTTTGGAAGAGGTGTTGGAAAAGCGTCGTCAGAGCCACCGGAGCGCCTCTCTTTCGGTAATGTCTTTCTGCCTTTTATTTCAGCTTGCAAGTACTGATTGGTCAAAGGACAGCGTACCAAAAGCTTGCCCGGGCCATTCGTCCAATCGCCGCCGTCGCCAGACGCCAACCCAGCCGAAATTCGTCTCCCGGTGACATGCCGCAAGTGAATGAGAAGCAGGAAGCCTGGGTTGAGCGGGCGTATCATTGGTGGAGACTATATCGGTCCATGGCAAGAGCATTGAGCCTGATGTGTCGGGTTTACTCTTGGAATGCGATCGCTTCATGACGACTGCTCCACGAATGCAATACTAGCCATCTTGATCAGGATTGGAAACATAGAAGGTATGTGGCCAAATGACCTGTCATTGACGCTCTGCTCTAACTGTTCTTTCGAGCTGAGCTGCAGTTTTCATTGGCAGATGACTATTGTGGCAACAGCGTCACCAGCTATCCGTTGGTAGCGAATCTCAGAAATCCGTGCGCTTCCTAGAAAGAAGTGCCGAATTTGCAGTCCCTTCCGCTCCCTGACCACGGTCGCTCCAAGAAGACGACGATGTTTATTGGAGTCAACAGTCGACGTGGGGCCGTGGCTGCAATGTTGTCCGAACGATCTCTGTAGATCTAGTAGGTCGACATTCAATCCGTCGAATGGTCGTACCCGTCACGGCCGAGTCCTTGTCGCCGGATGACTACTGTGGTTGAGAGTGAGGAGGACCTGATTTCTACACCCTGGCACAGTCTTCTAGAGGTCACCAACGTCATCGCTATTCGTCTCCGATCCCAGTGAAGCCTTCAATCAAGCTGGGGTTTGGGTTGGAAAAAAAATTGAGGCTATGTTGCAGCGCCAATAACCGGCAACAGTCATACTGTCATCTGGATGGACACCATGGGTTAAGATTTTGCGTTTGAACTACACCATCTGGCAAACCCCGCACCCTTCACCAGGCAACCATGCAATTTGGTAGGGAAAAGAAGCCCAGGAAACCTTCATTTGAACCCTTAAGAACGCCGTGGATGCTGCGCGAACGCAGACCTGAGCCCCTGTGTATAACCCAAATTTCCGACGGCGGTGCTTGAGGCTATGCGCAAATCCGGGACACCGTCAATCATCTTCGCTACCACGTCTCTATCTTGGGTATTTGTCGAGCGGTGGCCCCGAGCATCTCCGATCTTTAAGGCCTGATCGAAAGCTGTGGCCTAGCGTACGAGCTGCGGTGTGCCGATAGGGGCTGAGGAATTTGCCAGCGACGAACTCACACAATACGAAGTGGGTCCGCATCAGCGTAAGCGCATGAAAATAGAATTCAATGAGGTATTTCTCTTTCATATGGTATTGACTGGATTTCGAAACGGCAATATGTCCCTGGTCCCCAAACGCCAAAGCTAATGTGCACTTTAAAAACCATTCAGGCACTAATCAATCACTTGCTGCGCCCGAACTTTTCTCACCCTATTTTCCGATCATCGTGCATCGACTATACGCTCTCACCAAAGTTTCCCCGCTTTGCCTGCAGACCGGGTGATAGAGGCTGGCGACTCAGAGTTAGTCTCTTGCATATCATGCAAGCTGTCCGGAAATCTCACCTAATCCCGGGTCGTAAAATCTCATCGCCTGGGGTCCCCAAGGGCAGATGTGCTGGACGTTCGCGCGGTAAATTGGCTCCAAGTGTCATCTGTTGGTCTGGTATCGCGATAACCCTGCAGCGGACTGTGCTTTGGGACTGATGACGAAATCAATTAAATCCAGGTCGTCCTCTCCGTGTTTAGAGATTGTATCTTACGGTTGTTCAGGGAATCTGAAAACTTTTTGGAGCTTGTTGAAGAGTCTGATTTTGATGTGTCGTTGGAGGCCATGGTAGATCCGGTCTTCTTATGCTTTGTGGAGCTTGCATAGGAAGGGTACAACTGCGATGTGCTTATGGAGGGCATGATCCTGGCTGTTGGGTTTTCGTCTCCTTGTTTGCAAAGAAGGGTATATCTTTAGGGTATATAAGTGGCTATCGTCTTTGATTACAAGAAGTGTGAATTGCAATTGTTCCTCCTCCATGTGGCATCTACCTGTTCTTATGCTAAATGAGAACGAACTAATACACACTGTCGTTGTCACCGGTTGTGCTTGTCTTCTCTGCCCACGATGCAATGGAGCCATTTTCCAATCGGTACCTAAATACAACCTAGTCACGCTTGGCCGGAAAGCTTGCCGTCGGCAGAGCAGGCGCTGGAGGACTGATGGCATCATTCGCCAAATAGTCTCTCTACGAGAGGTTGGCCAAAAAGATAATTGGCAATCCGGAACGATATCTTGAAACACCGTTTCGGTGAAGCTACAAATAATGTTCTAACATATGAGTGGATGCGCGATGGAACACTAAGCTTGATGATGATTAGCTGACGCTGCTTACTTCCGCAAGATTAGATTAGCTCACATGGACTGTCTCTCATGTGAGAATTTGGACGACTTCAATGGCAATTTCTCCTCTGGAATTGAGTGTGTGATGGAGTCGGTGGGTTGTCTTACGGGGGATGGCATCCCGGCCTTGGTTCCAGCGCATTTTTGCCACTCCAGAGATGCGCACCAGTGTCAGAAGTAGCATTGTACATAATGCAACCTGAATTAGAATTCAATCATGCAGTCAGCATGATGGTTGACTCCGCGAGACTGCAACTCAACGAGCTGAGTCAGACTGCCTCGCCCCAATTGTACGGCGGAGCAATAGGAGAGGCGGCTGCGGCGGTTACAAAGACGGTATCATCATGTCGTTCTTGATGAGAAGGTTTGCATCACGCAGGGCTGATGCAGAATGAGCCTTGCGGTAGGGGGAGATGCAAAAACACTGTTGTGGCCATGTTCAACGCCCTACCTAGGGTAGACAAATTGTGGGTCCAGCCGTGGCTTAGCGGCGCTAACCGCCACACAATTCACACCGGTCTCCGTATACCAGCAAAAAAATTCTCCAGGCATTCGATCACTTATTTTTGACACTCTGTATTGAAGGCAACACCGTCGAAAAGCAACATCTTTGCAGGGGTAGCCAGAAAGACTTTCACTTTCCTTCAACATGTCTACCTCCAACTCCAACAGTCTGTTTCATGCAAGATACACGTCGAGTCCTGAAGATCCCATGTCTCAGGAATCCTCTCGTGCCTTTGATATAGATTCGGAGAGGTCTCTCATCGGTATTCCCCCAGCAGATCCTGACGAGCACGACAGAGGTCTTATCTTCTCCTACGACCCATGGACCGGACAGCCTTCTCAGACTTCAGCCAGCGAGGGATCCGAGGTCGAGTACGCAGTCCCAGAAGACTCGTTCGAGGCATCGACTTCAGATTATAGTACGAGCTTGCCGCAGGTTATGACGCCGCAGTCGAACCTGGATGTTCCGAGGATGGATGACCCACAATCAAGGCTCAACGGATCCAGCCTTTCTTCAGCCAGTAGACTTGATGTCCCATACACACCTTCGGCGTCTCGACCTGCATCTGTCGGTAGTCACGGAGTCCAATCTTCTTCAATCCTGCTTCAGGCGCACTCTCGATCTTGGACGTCAGATGGTCGAACGCCACCACCCTTGTCTCCCGCTGCTGAAATTACGAGCTCTGATCTCATCGATCCTTTGGTGGGAATCAACGATCCTCGAAACACAATTATCCTCAATCAAGATGACATCGACTTCCTTCAACCTCTAATGGCCCAGGAAGGGCATGGTCAGCCACATAACTCGGATGACGGTGTGAGTGCTTTGCACGACCGTGGTCAAAATCGCAGACACGATTCTCCATATTCGAGGAAGCTGGCCGAAAAGAGGAAGACGAAGAAGAAGGAGTCACGCAACTCAAAGTTTGATCCCTCAGCTCTTGTCATAAGACCTAGGAATGATCCGAGAAGCCAAATTGTGAAGAAGGAGCGGCGAGCTCTTACTGAAAATGAACGGGAGAGGGCCCGCCTCCTCAGGGAGATAGGAGTTTGCCTACGCTGCCTGTGGAATCACGAACCCGTGAGTTCCGGACAGAGATACTCGAAAGCTACGTTTGGGCAGTACTGACATCCGCAGTGTGGACTAGGTGATGTCTGTCCTAGATGTAGTGCTCTGACAATGCCCAGGATCTGGATGATGCCATGTGTCAGAATGCGTCTGAGTGAGGCGCTACTCCATAGAACAGGTAAGGTTGCTTGAAGTTCGTGACAGGCCTGATACGTGAACATCACTGACAGTCTTTCACAGGGGCTTTGAGCTTCCCCAAAGGGCTTCCTGGCATCGATGCCTGGACTTCTCGAATCAATGTGCCCGTGTCACTGTACAACATTGGTAGTGCGGATAAATCTTCCAGGCCAGACACGCGGCCCCGATTGCAAATCGTCTGTCGCGAACACGCTCCAATACTAGGAGTTCGCACCAGCAAGAGCTGGACCAAAGGGATCAACAAGATTGACATCCATCTACCAACCTATGCTATGACAGACTTCCAGCTCAGAGGGGCAGCTAAGAAGATGGATGAGCTGATAGACAGACACTATGAAACTCTTGTAGCCGAGCTCAAGATCTATCAAGACGAGATCGTCGTTAGCACTTTGTCAGAAGCAATACGACAAGCAGACAAAGTAAGATTCAGTTCGACGATTGATTGACCTCTTTACTGACCTTTGAAATCCAGTGCCCGACGCTTAAGAATGCTCTCAAGATATCCGTCATGTCTCGCCTTGCTTCGAAAAGCTTCAACATATATGGCCCCAACACGCTGGGAATACAGCGGGAGCAGGACCCTGACTGCCCCTACTACGACCGCATCCCAATTCCACCACTTTTAGACGCTCAAATTGACTCCTTGTGGATGGCTAGAATGGCTGACATTAGGAGAAAGGTCTTGACGAAGCTGAGAGCGATGATTGCACGGCGAGGTCGGGAGGACTGGCTCAACATCTTCTTGACCATACTGGTTCTTCTTTTCAACCTTGAGTTCATCTATCACAACCAACTCGAGCAGACCAAGCATTATCAAGAGAGAGTGAGTAGTTTGATCCAATTTTCTGGGAGGTCGCTAAAAGATTCTCTTAGACCCACCGTCAACAAAGCATGCTAGAGTCTTGGGAGTATTCCGCTAAAAATTTGATGGCGCACTTCCACACTATATGCCATGGGAATTTACCTCTCAAGGTGGACTGGAATGAAGAGGTTCGGAATGCGGCAATGGTGGACGACAAAAGTCTAGCCTTCCTGAACCAACTGAAGGGTCTGGTGCGGTCACGGGGTAAGTTGCATGCTGCAACCATCACACACTAGCTAACTCGCATGGTAGTCGAGGAGCTCAACACACTAGCCAAAGGTGCCCCAGGCGAACCGTTGGTCTGGATATCGGCGCTATTTCTGCCCCCCGAGGGGGGTTAGTGTCTGCGCTATCGCTTTCTTAGTGTCACTTCGTGCAGTCGTGGTACGTACAATCGCATGTCCAACATTCCATCTTTCTTCTCGGAACGCGTTCGGGGGCGGAAAGAAAACGCACACCACTAACCACAATCACGCTTTAGACCCCCACGGGCTCGCTCACGGCTGCAGGAGAGTGTCTTGATTAGGCATTGATCTGCAGTATACTGTCAACATCCCTGTCGTTGCATTTGCATATTCACGGTGCGTAAGGCGGGGGGCCCATAACGGATGGCCTATCGCAACTTCGCGTTTACTGACAAGCCGAGGGGGTTGGAAACGCTGTCGGGAGGGGACTTTGGTAGCGAGACTATCAAGATGCGGCTCTGCGGAGCGCCACGTTATTCGTTCCCCTTAATATGGCCATTGATCAGTCGTCTCATGAGACTATTCAACTGGAGAGCTGCGGTCCAAGTGCTTTCACAAAATTTCTTTGGCCGATATGGCTCCTCACGCACTCATAGACTCTTACGATTCTTCAGAATACTATCCTTCAATCAAATCTAGTGCATGGTTGAAATCCGCTGCCGCACATCAATGCTTGAAACCCTCTATCCCCGATGCCGCTAATCTGGAGCAAGAGGTCTCGCTCAAGAGGCTTCAGACACTCACCAGAAAGGCTCCATACGTGTGGCATCTATCACCGGAAGAGATAGAAAATGTCGAGGAGAGTGTGAGATCCTTTTCTGGTATGCACTGCCCTTCCAAACTCCAGCCCAACATATCACTTGAACGTGAAGCAGATTCGGGGTTGCCACTCAACGCAATCAACCCCAGAAGTTTCCCTTTGACGCAGGGTCTGAGATCCAAATTGAAAGACGTTCTCAAAATCGTCTATGGCGCACAGCAGTTCCTGGTCATTTCCGGACTGAGGTCTTCCCGACACAACGACACTGAGAACGTGATCATCCACACTGGTCTTTCGAGCCATGTCGGTAGCAAGCGAGGCATGGCTGGTCGAGAAGGCGGAGATAACACAGTTCTGCGTTAGTGGAACGCTTTGGTAAAAGGATGAATAAACATTCTAACCTGTAATCAAGAGCATATCACATCCATGCCAGCTGAAGAAAATGGCAAGGCGGGCCAATACCATGGACCGCCCAATCAAAACCGAGATATTGTGAGCTACAATGTTCT